CCTCTAAGCTAAGTTAGCGTGAGCTAGCTCACAGTTTTTTAGCCTCAAGCGCAGACATTTTTGTCTCAGCTCAGGAAGGATGGCTCCAGAACAAATTAATTCATGCAGGAGCCAAATCACCTGCTCACAACTCACCTGCTCCCAGCAGGGCTCCCTCAGTGAGCGTCAACCTGGAGTTCTCCTGAAGTAGTGCAGACACCACCATTGTCCCCTCGAAGCTGAGTTAGCGTGAGCTAGCTCACAGTTTTTTTAGCCTCCAGCTCAGACATTTTTGCCTCAGCTCAGGAAGGATGGCTCCAGGGCAAACTAATTCATGCAGGAGCCAAATCACCTGCTCACAACTTTAATGCCAGTTGCTCACAAAGGAGAATTTTTGCTCACAAGACTCCACAGCTTAGAGGGAGCATTGAACACTGCTACCCCCAGTTTCCCCATGGGGCAGCACTTAGCCTCCTGGAGGAACCTGGTTCTCTCCTTGAGCTTTCTCTGCCTGCCTTTGCTTTTCCTCTACTGAGTGCCTGACTGCAGCTGGAAGTATTTGGGGGAATGTTCCTAACAGGTGTAGAAAATGAACTCATCACTCCCAACCTGAGGAGAACGGTCTAAGGATGTGCTGTGGGTGGGCACAGCATAACGTTTCAGGAACTGCAACATAATATTGGGCGCTCCTGAATGGATCCAAGGGACTGAAATTGTGAGTGGCATTCCTTCACTATCCTTCCCTCAGAAGGATTCCTGTTACAAAATCCAGTTTTTGAGACTCAAAAATGCATTTTTTCCCCTTGTCTGTCTCAGAAACATGCAGCATCTGACATGATTTTTTTAGCTGTTGACTCTAGAAATATCAAGGTGTTACAGGAAATCAGCCTAGAAATATCAAAAAGGGAAGGTAGATTTTACCTCAGATTTTATTATCTGAGGTGAGCAATTTTCCCTCCATTCTTATTTGATGCTTTAGAAAAGAAGACAACAAATATGATTGCTGACTGGCCTTAGGAAAAAAATGTTCTGCCCATTTAATAGAGGCTTAATATTTAGAAATGGGCAGTTGAAGTTTTTCATGGCATAGAGGTAAATAACACCCCATTAATCCTCCATTTACGCGACAGGCCATTTTTCTCCAGGCCTATTGGTAATCATGACAACAAGGTAGAAAAGTTTTATACTAACCCAGTCACTTCTGTTTGTGTGTCTTAAGGTTGCCATCTCCAGGCTGGAAAATTCCTGGAAATTTGGGGGTAGAACCTAGGGAGGGTGGGGTTTGGGGAGGGGAGGGACCTCATTGGGGGTATAAAGCCATATAATTTGCCCTTTAAGCCAGCCATCTTCTCCAGGGGAACTGATATATGTAGTCTGGAGGTCAGTTGTAATCCTAAGGGATCTCCAGGCACCACCTGGAGGTTGGCAACCCCAACTTGTCTATGTACATTTGGTTTTCCTCCCGAAGTCATATCTGGACAACCTAAGCCTACAAAATCCTGTCCCTCAATTATTTTCTTTTAAAGAAGCCCCTCATCGTGATATTTACACTGGAAAGATGCAACCTAATCCATACTTCATTCCAGTGTAAGGACACTGATTTCAGTCTGCTAAAACTGGAGTAACTGTGCCTAGAACCATGCCATATCTCTCAGACCCCAAGAGCCTAGCCTCTGCCCTCTGGGACCACCTTATTCTCATGGATAGGATTTCCAATTTATCGACCAGGCTATAGCAACATGACGTACAGTTGTGTGTTTTCAAACAGGGTTGTTGTTTTTTTTTTAAATGAAAAGCAGCTGCCAAATGCTCCTGGTAGAAGGAACAGGCTGCTTTATGCTTTGGGATTATGCTTTTTGGGATTCCAGGGGATGGCCTGGAGATATCCGGGAATTACAACTGATTTCCAGATGACCAAGATCAATTTCCCTGGAGAAAATGGCTACTTTGGAGTGTGGACTGTAAATCCACTGAGGTGCCCCTTGCCCCCAAACCCAGCCATCTCCAGGTTCCACCCCTAAATCTGCAGGAATTCCCCAACCCAGAGCTGGCAACCCTACTCAAGCTGTCTTTTCCTCATGGGTGGAAAAATATCTGGGGAAGCCAAGTTTAAACAGAAAGGTAGGTGGAGAGCTGCCTCCTTCATCCTGGGCACTAACTATATTTGCAGCCACTTCTCCCAAATGCTTTTTTAGTTTATTTTTTTTTTTAACTGTGTGTTTGTGTAGGAAAGTACACATGTAACTGGCCAAGTACACCACTCTGTCTGTCCAGCCCCTCTGCAGATGTTGAAAGCTGCACAGCTGGGCCACTCACCGATAAAGAAAGGCTACCTGTATTCTCAAGGGACTCCTCAAGTATGCAGACAAACATGATTTTGTAAATTATTCCAAAAGAAAAGAAAATGCTGAAAACCCAGCCTAAGAAAGACGCACAGTGCCACCTATGCTGAGTTTATACTTACTTCAGAGTATAAGCTTTCAAGAATCAAAGCACATTTCATCACATACTCTTGAAAGTTTATAACCCCCAAATCTTGTTGGTTTCTGAGGCATTTCTGGACTTGAATCTAGCTCTTCTACTGGAGACCCCCATGGCTACCCTTCCAAAATTATCCTAAGCAAAGTTACACCCTTCTAATCCCATTGACTTCATTTGCTTTAGAAAGGGCATAACTCTGTTTAGGATTATGCTGTAAATATGCTCCAGAAGGAGTGGGATGTTGAGAACACCTGTCAGTTAAAAGGAAAATAAAAGACAGGAGGAGTCGGTTTTATACCCCACGCTTCACTACCTGAAGGAGACTCAGAGTGGCTTACAATCACCTTCCCTCCCTTTCCCCACAACAGACACCCAGTGAGGTTGGTGGGGCTGAGACAGTTCTGAAAGAACTTGTGACTGATCCAAGGTCACCCAGCTGGCTTCACGTGGAGAAGCGGGGAATCAAACCCAGTTCTCCAGATTAGAATCCACCGCTCTTAACCACTACACCCAACTGGCTCCCAAGATGGGTCTTAAGACCCAGAGAGATTAAAGAATTCTGGTGGGTGAGATTTTCAAAGTGTGTTTCCTCCTTTTTGTGATTCCTTTTGGGCCCTGTAGAACGTATGTGGTATGCAGGGCTGTATTGGTATACACAGCAGCTGGAGTGAGCATTTTGTCTCCATCCTTAATCATGGTAGTATCTATGCATCTCTGTATCTAGGCTTCATCCTTGTGATTAGTCATGAATCTTCCCGATCATGGCATCTGTATAAGCCATGAACACACATGAACACATGAAGTCAGTATAGTGTAGAAGTTAGAGCTTCTGACTAGGAGCTGGGAGACCCAGATTCAAATCTCCCGATCATGGCGTCTGTATAAGCCATGAACACATGAAGTCAGTATAGTGTAGCAGTTTGAGCTTCTGACTAGGAGCTGGGGGACCCAGATTCAAATCCCTACTCTAGGATGGAAGTTTATTGGGTAACCTTGGCCCAGACACACACAGTCAGCCTATCCTACTTCACAGGGTTCTTGTGATGGTAAAATGGAGATAAGGAGAACAGTGTAAGCTGTTTTGGGTCCCCCATTGAGGAGAATGGGGGGTATAAATGATGTAAATAAATAAATACATGAGTCAGGCCGTTCATCCATCAAGGTCAGTAGTAATTACTTTGACTGGCAGCAGCTCTTCAGGGTCTCAGGAAGAGACCTTTCATATCACCTGGAGATGCCAGAGATGGAACTTGGGACTTTCTGCATGCGAAGCAGATGCTCTGTTTTTTGCCCACACGTGGCAAACATGCATAGAAAAGGATGGGGGCCAGCATGCTCATTTTTGCCCCCACCCTATGCATGTTTGTGAAATATACCAATATGCTGTATACACAGTTATCACTTGAATTTTAGCTTCTGAAAAAGAACTGTTACACAGGTTTGGAGGGGGCTGTGCTAGAGTGAAAAAATATGTCTAGAGGAGACTTTGAAAGGTGTTTTAAAAAAAATCTACCACAGAAAATTTTCTTTTTGGATTTGGACCATTCCAACATCCTTGCCCCTCTGACTTTTCAACTACCTTGCAAACAGGGATGTCAAGATTTAATGATTAGTAGGGAAGAGCCAGTTTCAATTTTTCTGTTCTTTTATTGTTCTAGACATCCCATTTGCATTGCATTCTACTCTCTCTCATTCAGGCCTAACTAGAATAATTTCTACAAAATCCCAGAACTACAGCATGTGCGGTTGGCCACAACTTTCCATTTCCCCCCATTTGTTTGCACCTCCCCCCCCCATTGTGCATTACCAGTGCACACATGCACACTGATAAAACACGCTAAAATGCACTTTTGATGTAACCAAATTTATGTTTGCAAGAAGGTTCTTTTTTGTGGTGTTTTAAAGATGTGCATGTGTGTTCCTGCACATTGTAAAAATGCGCAGCAAAATCTTGAAGCAACCATACATGCAGCCACAGCCAGATTGGGGGGGGGGCTGTAAAATACAGTAAAATACACAGAGGATAAAGATGTGAAAGAATGGTGCATGCATACAGCACCATATACAACTTGGAAATTAAAGAGTGAAATAATGGAGAATTATTAACACATCAGTTTCATTTGGGGAAAAAATCTGGAACTCCAAAATACAGAACAAAATTCAGAAAGAAAGAATCTTGCATATATACTTTGTTAAAAGATGACATTTTATGACTAATTTGTAAAAGTTTTAGCCAATGTTCAAATACTTTGGGGTACTGGTTAAAGCCCCCACCTTTCCATCTTTAAAAAATCTCCTTGTAGAGTAGGAAGGTTGTATTTTAGCTATTAGGCAAGAGAAAGATATCAGATCTGTCCTGCAGAACAACAGAGAAACAATATACCTAAAAGCCACCATGATCCTAATAGGTGCTTCTCTATTTATTTTCTTGTAAAGTTTGTCCGGCCAATAAATCTAGAGACAGCTGATTTTAGAACTATTGATCTTTTCTGGACTTTCCATTCTCCTAGCAAGGTCACTAGTTAGGAGAATCCACTTCCTTAGAAACATTTCCGGTGAACTACACCTGGGCCAAAATCTTTATAATCGTCAAGAGTGACCCACATGTGTTTGAAAGATGTCAAGCAAGTCAGAATAGAGGCCCCAATCCATACACAGTACTTCCTCTCTGGCGGTGCTATAATCCTCACTGATATCCCAGTTGGCACCTGCAGTTGCATTTCCTTCAGGATACGCTCATCCAATCCCGGGAACAGAGTTGATCCACCGGAGAGCAGAATATTTCCATAAAGATCTTTGCGGACATCAATATCACATTTCATAATACTGTTGAAGATCATCTTGTGTATGCCGGGAGCTTCAACACCAATGTTAGCAGGTACAAAAAGGGTCTCTGGGGCTCGGAAGAGTTGACTGCCTATCCTAATGATATTGCCATCAGGCAATTTATACTCCCTCAGCAGTTCTTCCATTTTGCCCCTCATTTCTTGGATGGGGTCCAGAGCCACATAGCAGAGCTTCTCTTTGATGTCTTTCACAATTTCTCTCTCAGCTGTGCTGACAAAGGAATGCCCACTCTCTAGAAGGAGCCTCATGAAGTATTCGGTGATATCCCTACCAGCAACGTCCAACCTGGAGACAGCATGCAACAAACAATAGCCTTCGTAGATAGGGACTGTATGAGTAACACCATCCCCACTGTCCATTACTATCCCTGTGGTACGTGCTGAAGCGTAGAGGGCCAGAGTGGCCTGCACAGCAACATACATAGCTGGCACCTTGAAACTTTCAAACATGATCTCCGTCATTCTCTCCCGATTCTGAAGAGGATTCAGCGGGGCTTCCGTCAGAAGTACTGGCCTGTCACTGGCTTTGATCCTCAACTCACACTCGTAGACATGCCGCCATATTCTCTCCATGTCCTCCCAGGATGTCACTATGCCGTGGTCAATGGGATAATTCAATGATAATACTCCCCTTTTCATCTGGGCTTCTTCTCCAATGTAAAATTCTTTCTGGCCAGCTCCAAGCATGGTGGCTTTGGCTTTCGAGCGACCAACTATTGCTGTGATAACTGACCTTGGGGCACTGTCCCCAGCAATACCGGCCTTGCATAATCCAGACCCATTGTCAAAGATAACTGCCGGGATGTCTAGAACTTTGGGATCAAACATCCTTTGGATGGTACCGTTCTCACCTGGAGAAGTTGCCTGATAAGGGGGTGGGATTGGAGGCCACTGGAATGTTGAGAGTGAAGGTTCTAAAGCAGTGATGTCATATACAACAGCATCCTCTAGTACCAAAGAGAAGGTATCCCAGAAGTTCTGAGGAATGTTTTTCTGGTGACCATTTCCAATATTTGGACCAATTCGATGAATGAAACAATAGATGGGGAAATGAAAGAATGCTTAGTTCGAAGTTTTGATTTTCTACTGCCACTGCAACATCAGCATATTTGCTGTCGAGGATAAGAGTCCTGATTAGACAACATTTTTAAGAATGATATTGCCAAATCCATGGGAACTGGGGAGCAATGACATGTACCGTTAAGCCAATGGAGGCTGCAATGCTCAACCATGATTTATTCATGCATTATATTGCTCTGAGAGAGGTTGATATTTGAATGGATAACTTGATATGCAATTATGCCTATTGTGGAAAATAATACACATGCACTGCTCAGCAGCTGTTCAGGAAGAGTAGTTCAGCTTTGGTGGAGAAATGTGCTGAACATGCAGTGAGATGGTAGAAATATTGGTGGAAACTAAGTGCTAGATTTTGCATATCCCTGATTTTAAAGATGGTTATGGGAGGGATGAGGTGAAGGCTGGGAAATTTGACTGTAGAACAGGAGTTATTTTTGACAAGAATGCCTCTCCGCGTTTTTAGAACAGAGCAGGGTCAAGTGTTTTAAAGGACTGCACATGTGTCTCTGTTTGTATTCAGAAGACTTCAGCCTACCTGTTCATACATGTAGATTGTTTGAGTCCTCTACACTTGAGTCATGCACCCTTGGTGGCCAGCAGCTGAATGTGCGGACACATTCTGTTTAAAAGCACTGCTTTTGAGGTATTCAATCTATTCTTTTGATCAGATCAGATCAACTCATTCACACCAGCAAATAGCTACTCGATGTGCTGGCAAACAGATGATTAAATCTGTGGGTTTGAACTACCCACTGTCACAACTTACCTCTTCTTCCTACAATGAGGCTTTCATTGTACATGACAGAATACAAGAAGGCAGGATCCTGCCCCCAACGAGCTTAGAATCTGTAATTTTGTATAAGGGAGACAAGTTAGAGTGGAGGGATATGGAGGTGGGGACAAACGGGAAGAATATGCATTCCTTTCAGCACGTGTATTTCGGGGCTTAGATTTCAAGAGGGCTGCAATCCAATACACACATACTTAAGAGTAATTCCCATGGAACATAATAGGACTTCCATCTGAGAATACATGCACAGGATTGGCTTCACCTTCTCTGGATCTGGGCTACATGGAATTAATTTTTATGCATATTTTCTAAGCAGCCTTACTGTTCAGTGAGACATAACCTCAAGCAAGGGTCCCTTGTCTCGAACAGGACTGACTTCTGGTCAAGAACTGGATCAGGACGCACACCTATTGTTTTTCTTTAATCCTAGAAGCATTTGAACAGTGGTTGCAAGGTTTATTCAAATGTGTCATTAGTCTTTTTGTTGTTATTATATATTAATCTCCGAGCGTGGTTTGGAAAGCTATCAGCTTTGACCATGAAATGTAAGCTAGAGTAAAATTTTAATACGCTTTTTTAAAAAGTCACCTGTGAGCATGCAGTTAATGGTAGAAAGCCCACAGCGGTTGCATTTTAATTGCTTCTCCCGCTAGCCTTAAGTTATGGCCAGCTTCAAAGGGAGGGTGGCTTCCATTAAATTTAATTACTCTCCCTTGCAGCCAGCGTGGCAAAGGTGCCAGCACCTAATTAAAGGTGGTTATGAATCAGAAGCAGAACCCAGCTGAAAGAGGCAAAATGAAGAGGCACTTCTAAGTGCAAGTCAACTGCTTCGACTTCGGGCCATAAGGTAGGCATACTTTCTCGGTCAGGGAAAGTATGGACATAAGCCGTCTCATTGCTTTGAGAAAGGTTACAGGGAAGTGTGGAACCCCACTGAGAAATGTTCAAGCACAGCGCAGAAACATTCATTGCAAACCCTTTTGGTGTTCTCACCTTCAGAGAGTATGATGGCGGTTTACCAGCAGCCATTTTTGCTTATGTGCCAGATGAAGTCTATATGCCTAGCTTTGGGGTGTTTCATATTAGTTAATTTTGTCCCAGTAGGTTCTCCCACCCCAGCACAAAGACAGGAGAGAACCATTTATGGGTGAAATTAGACTTTATGAAATAGCTCATTTGCATCATCAAATCTACACACATTTATTAAGTATGGGTTGCAATTGATGGACCACATATCGCCTACCGGCAATTCCGGGCAATTCCACCCTGGCTCCAAACCTGGCCAAAGTTCCACTGTCTTTGTTTCTCCTAGGCTGCACAGTACCTGTTCCTAGAGGTGCCTCCCCCCCCCCACCAAGCAACTATGGGTTTGATTGATGGTGCTCAGCCCCAAAGCCATTCTGTTTTTGAAACAGGCCTTCATTCTTTGATGTCTCAGGGTGCTCACAATCAGCCCTACTTGTGTTCTACCAACTGCCCCTACTCCTGCCAGTCTTAGTTATGGCCTAGCCAGGCCTTTTGAGAACACCACATGATGCAAGCATAACAAGATCCCAACCTTGAGCCTCTGTGAAAAATTCCTGCTTGGCTGTTAAAGGTGATAAGCTAATTCCACGTGATTCCATGATGGGTAGGCAGCACAGACGTGGCATCTAAGCTTGAGGAAGGCGGAGCAAACTTATAAGCTCCTCCTTCCAGCCTCCCCTTTGGCTAGGTGCCAGCCCAGCTCGACCAATGATGTGCTGCTTTTGAACTAGAGGCACAAAATCCTCAGCTCAGAGAGGTTTAAATGAATGTATTCTCAGATACGGTTCTTTACATTTCTGTGTGGGTGAGTTATGTCAGCTGATTGATTAACTGCCACTATGAGTCGTGTGAATCTTATTTATTGCCAAATAAGATTGGCATTTAGTTTTTGTGCCACTCTTTTAATTATTGATGTTTTTACATGATCTTATATGATTATTTTGTAAGCCTCTAATAGCATCATGTTTGGATGGAGGGGCGGGGTATCAGAACAAAAAAATATATATATATATTTGTGTTAGGGACAGGCTGCATTTTTCCAGGTGTGATAGACTTACTGTCCATAGTGAAATAATAATGGTTGGTGATAAGAGCTGTTAGAAGCCTTCCTGAATGTTTGGATACCTTAGTGGTGAATTAGACTGTGAAAGGACCACTGGAAATTGAAGTTTGATAAAGATTGTTCTCGAAACGAACGGCAAAACTCAAGAAGTTCGTCCCGTTCTGTACATCTTGTCGACACTCTGGTGTCTGGATGATGTCCACCTGTTGAAATACAAGAATTATAAACAACATGGAAATTGGATTTCAGCATTAATTTCTTTGTGTGAACTTATGCAGCATTTCACTTTGTATTGATGTCAGAAGGACACTATGACATTATTTAAAATATGTTTCTTTAAAGGAGGGATATGTCCAAGAGGTCATGATTATGATAAGGGCTCTACTGGTAGCAGGAGCTCCTTTGCATATTAGGCCACACACCCCTAGTGTAGCCAATCCTCCAAGAGCTTACAGTAGCCCCAGTAAGAAGAGCTCTGTAAGCTCTTGGAGGATTGGCTACACTAGGGGTGTGTGGCCTAATATGCAAAAGAGCTCCTGCTACCAGTAGAGCCCATACGATACCAAAAGCAGAAGTATCATAAGAATGTAAGACAAGCAACTAGTAGTTTGAGATATCCTGTCTCTGAACTCATGGCTAATACTCAGCAATGGCCCTAGTACCCATAAATGTGTCTGGTTCCCTTTGAAAGCCATCTTAGGGCCAAGCTAGATGTGATGGCATCCTTGGATCTCACCTGTGGACGCTGCCACCATTCTAAAGTGATTTAAAAATGCTCTGAGGGTCACAGCATTGTGAGCTCCGGCACTCTTGTTTCCCCCGTGCCTTTTCAAGTGCCGAAATGGCCACGATAATAGATAGGAACTCTCAGTTTGGGGCAAGTGATGCTCTGTATTCTTGGTGCTTGGGGAGGGGGCAACAGTGGGAGGGCTTCTAGTGTCCTGGCCCCACTGATGAACCTCTTGATGGCACCTGGTATTTTTGGCCACTGTGTGATAGAGTGTTGGACTAGATGGGCCATTGGCCTGATCCAGCATTGGCTTCTCTTATGTTCTTATATAACCTTTGCCTCCGTAGTTTTGGCACTTGAAAAGGTGTGGGGGGGAGCAAAAGTGCCTCAGCTCGCTGTGCAGGAGGACCAATCAGGATTGGACCCTCACAGCATTTTTAAATCACTTTAAAGTGGCAGGGGCATTCCCAGGTCAGACCTGTGGATGCCTTCATGTTTGGTTTGGCCCTAAACATGTCGCTCTAAGCATGTGGGCATCACTTCACCTTGTGGCAGTGAATTCCAGTGAGTCCTGAATCACCAAGAAACTTTTTCCCCACTTAAACCTCATTGGTTTTCCACCTCCTGTGGCACCCAGTGACAAAGACTTTGGCTCAGAAATGGACAAAATTAGAAACTGAAGTCCATGGTAGGATTATTTTTTTTAACAAGGAGTAGTTTACTAGAATTTCAACTCAAACACCTGTGAACAGCTTCTCACAGATGCCGGCTTCCCCCACTGAGAAGGCACAAGCCATAAATAGTTTAATATGCTATTTATAGGGCATTCTTTGCCTGCTTTATTTGAAAATGGCTGAGCACACAATTTTCCACTTCAAGAACTGTACAAGGCTTTGTGCTTTTATTGACAATTCTCTCTCTTAAAAAAAAAATAAGGCAAACTTTCTCCTTTCTGTATCAATCTCTGAACAATGCACAGTTTGGCTTACTAAACTCTAAACTCCCACTAAGTGAAAACAGACTGTTTTTAAAAAACATGCAGAAGGAGCTGTTGGAACCAGGGTTTCTACAAATGGAATTAGAATGCTGCTCTTGTGGAATTATGGTTTGAGAATGAAATCTGAAATCTGGTCCATAAC